CCATAAGTTCATATTCTATTGGAAAACATAACATGTAAAGAGATAAGTTTAAATAAAATAATTTGAAGCAAGAGAGAGTTCTAATGGATAATGGTATCATGGTTCTCAGACACCAATATTTTAGCCAGCTATTCACTTGCTAAATATATATTTTGCCTCTGAAAATCCTTATTTTTAATTGATAATGGATAGATGATCCATTGATGGTGATACATAGAGAGATAGAGGTGGAGAGATAGAGAGATAGGATGGATAGGTAGAACTAGATAGAGATAAGTAGAATATTTCTTTAGCACTGAACATATGTCAAGCCTCTGATAAGTTCTGAGACTACAAATACAAGAAAAACAATATTCACAACTTCAAGGATCTTACCTTCCAATGAGAGAAGATAATACAGAAAGTGGAATAAGAAAGGTTGCTGGTGAAGAGGCAGAGTCCGCAGAGTGAAGAGGTGAGCAAGGACTGAATTGAATTTATCTCAACACCTCATGAAATCTGGGTCCTAAGATTCACCAATTTGAAGAGAAGTCCACAGGACAGCAACATCTTCAGAAAAAGAAGGTTGTGAGACAAAAGGTGGAAAAGTCCAGAGACTGAAGAGAGGAGGCAGGATTGAATGTATAGCAACTAAAATCCTCCCTCTAGCCCAAAGTTCTTCAGGTTCTCGTCTAAGACTTTCTTACATGTAGCAATGCTTTCTTGTTCCTTCTTATAGTCTCCCATGCCCCTATATGAACCAGCAGGAGAGGCCGGTGTTCATTAAATTTGATATTTTATATAGATTGCAATTTTGACCTTCAGGAGAATTTGGTGAAACAGTATGAAATGAGACCTTGCAAGATAACGGCAATATAGAAGAAAGCTTGGAGATCATCTACTCCCAAGGGCTCATGTTTACAAATGAGAACACTGAAGTCACCAGAAATTCAGTAAGTCACCCAAAAAGTGAAAGGATTTGAACCCAGATCCTTCAACTTGAAACTCAACATTCTTGCCAGGGCACCAAATTAAGGGCTGTGATCCTTGACATTTCTCAGAGGAAATTAATTCTCCAGTGGGCCTTGTTTCCTGATGAAGAAACCTATAGTGATGACATACTTCTAAAGTACTAACCCATGCCTAGGAGCCCTGTGTATTCATTACACTGCCCTGTCATCTGTTATGCCAGGCTCAGTGTAGTTGCCAGACCCAAGAATATATCCCTTAAATAATTAGGAACAAGCAAACAAACAAAACATGGCAAATAATAGGTAAATAATATTTTTCTTTTTAAAATCTAACATATAAAAACAATATAAAAGCAAGAAGGACCTTGAAACACTATTTACTCCTATGTAGTTTCATTATTATCTCAAAGACTAATCTGTACCTGACCAAGAATGATGTCAGAGGATCCCCAATAATTTGCCAGCCAGTATTAAATTGAATACTGCTAATGAGGGGGGACCTGCTATCTCCAGAGAACAGCCATTTCATTTTTTTATATATTTTAATTAAATTTTACTTTGTTTTCTCAAATAGTAAGCATTTATTTTCTCCTCCCTTTCTTACCCTTAAAAATAAGAAACACATAACTCCACTAGCCAATATGCATACTGAAGCAAAACTAATTCCCATAATGGCCATGTCCAAAAATGTGAGCCTCATTCTGCATTTTTTATTCCTCACTTCTCTGTTGGGAATATTTAATTGTTTTCCTTTTGTCTTTGTATCCCACTGCATTTAGCACTGTGCCTGGAACATAGTAAACATGTAATAAATGCTTGTTGTTTGTTTGCTTTCTTGATTGATTATATTGAGCTAAAATCTGCCTTGCATCTCCTGGCCATTACATGATCTCTGTGTTCAAGTAAAGCTGTCCATCACAAAAAGCTGTTTCACATTATGCTTCTCTATTCAGATAAATTATTTCATGTTATGCCAAGTTAAGTAGCTTTCATTCTTCCCTGGTGGCCTGCATCCAACTATGGCTGGCATCTCAACATTGGTGCCCAGCTGTAATGGTAGGAGCTCAATCAGTTAATACTAGCCTGAAACAATGTGGATGGAAAATCTCAAAATGTCTATTTAGTGGCGATCAAGGAAATGCAAGTAATTAAAGACATCTATTTCTAGGGAAAACTGTTCCATTAGGTCACTGACTTTTTATACTTTTTAGCCATCTCTGTGGGCTCCCCAGAAATCAAGCTCAGAGGCTGCCTGCCCCTTCTTCTCACCACTATTTCTTCTCTCCCTTACATTCTACCCTTTAAAATGGAAAGAAAATAGAAAGACAGTAATGAGTGCATATAGAAAAAAACAGCAGTTGATCCAAAACACTATTTTTGTGGTACCTGGCAATTCTTACTCTGAATCCTTTCAGAAGCTTATCCCCATGAACTGGTTACTAAATGCTTATCTTATCCTGGTAATGGGTTAGTCACTATTGCAAAGTGTGGGTTACAAGGACCTGCCATCAAAGAATTTAGGCCTCAGGTCAGGTCATAGAATAACAGGTTTGAACTGGAAAAGACATCATAGGCCATCTAATTCAACCCCTTATAAATAAATTGAAACTCAGAGGGGGTAGTGACTTAGCCAGGGTTACATAGGCCATTCTCCAGACTTAGTGTGTTTATCAAACTCAAAAAAGATTTCCCTTAAAACCTTAGAAGGGCCTAACAAAACAAAATACCAAAAACAGCCTCCATCCCTGTCAAGAATCAAATTACTACTTTGAATCTAAAGAATCATATAATCTAAGATATAAGTCAGACCTCAGAGGCTATCTGGCCCAAGAAATTTAAGATTCAAACACTAATTCTTTTATTTGCAAATACTGTGGTTTTCCTTTTTCATGACAAATCCCATGCTCCCAGTTTTGGTAGAGCCATGGTTGGAGAATGTCTTTTCAGCCAAATTATACCAACCACATTGTCTGAATTCATTTCAAGGGACTGTGTTAGTACAGAAGGGTAAAGATGGATAGAGGGGTAACTTAAACTATCTACTTCACAGGATTGTGAGGGAAGTGATTTGAGAAGTGTAAAGTCATGTAAAAATGTGACTTGCTTTTGTTCTCCTTTTCTATCTGATGGAATTTCAGATCGAAATAATCTGGGGACAAGCCATCATCCTACTGCTTACTTATTTTAATTCCAGTGCTATCATCATCATCATCATCATCATCATCATCATCATCATCATCATCATCGTCATCATCATCATCATCCAGAATGTAATAAATAGGTGGCTAGACTTAGAGACAGAAAGATCCATCCCACTCCTGGCACATACTGACTACATAATCATGCAAAAGCCACTTAATATAATCTCACATTGCTCTACGAAATTCTCTCAGACAAGGTATTGAACCCTTTTGTGTGGATATCATGGACCACTTTGTCAGTGTACTGAATCCTATGATCCACATCTTCAATAATATTTTATTGTCTTCATTAAAATTGAAAAAAAACTTTAAGTTACAGGTTGGAGAAAATAAAGATATATTTTTACTTTTCAAGTTCACAGACCCCTCCTCCTTCCCTTCCCCAAACTTATTGATTGGCAGGGTCAAGACCTCTTGAACCAAGGGTCAAGAACCCCTGTTTAAAACTGTACATTTCAGAGAATTTGCAGACCTCTATTGATAGAAGGGATTTTCTTCTCAGGGAGTTTCCTAAATCAAGAAATTACAGGTACAGTCCTTATGCTGATCCTTATGATTAGTTCTTATTATTACTATTATCATTATTTTAGTATGGGTTAATCAGAATACCTTATGTCTAATTCTCACCTTTGAAAACACAAAGAACTTGATCTCAGGAGAATAAGAAAAAGGGAATGGAAGGAATAGCTGGAGCTATGGAGATGGCATGATTTTGACAGCTCCTGATAGGATAGGGGAGGCCTTTTCCTGGATGTTAGACTGACTGATAAAAGAAATAGATTCAACAAAAGAAATGTTTGAAAAGAGAAAATCAGGTAAAGAGAGGGAAAGGACTTGAAGACCAACTTCATCTGTTGATAATTCTTTTTTACTAAGATTGAATATGATTTATAGTTATTCTTAATTTCATAGGTTTATAGATTTGGAGCTGAATTGTTATTCAGTCATTTTTCAATCATGCCCAAATCTTCATGATCCCATATGGGGTTTTCTTGGCAAAGATACTGATTGGTTTGCCACTTCCTTCTCCAACTTATTTTACAGAAGAAACTGAGACAGAGTTAAGTGACTTGCCCAAGGTTACACAGCTAGTAAGTGTCTGAGGCAAGATTTGAACTCAGGAAAAGGTGTCTTCCTGACTCCAGGCATGGCACTCTATCCACTGCACCACTTTGTTGCCTTCACAGCTGAAAGCAGTCATCTAATCTAAGTCTCACCTTTTACATATGAAGAAACTGAGTATCAGAAAGATTAAATAAGATGCCCAATGTTACACAGGAAGAATGAAACATGGCCAAGATTCAAACCCTCAATTTCCTCAGATGTAAAATGGTAGCACAAAAAAGTCAATAATAATGACAATAGCTTACATTCATATGATGCCTTGGGGCTTATAAGGCACTGTCCTTATAACAACTCCGTAATGTAGATTGCTTTAGAGTGTTAGTGTTAATTTCCAGATGATATGGTAAAGGGAAAAAGTTAGAGGAGACATTAACTCCCCTTCCATCATTTTCTTCCCTTTTTCATGGACTTTGCTCCTGAGTAATTTCCTCATTATGGTATTCCCTATATTGATGAAAGCAGAGGTTTAGTTTCTAACTGATAACTGGTAGAGCCAATGTCTTACATTTAGTATCTTACCCCAAGGGGCTATGTAATGGAGAAAATGTTAGGCCATTTATGAAGGGAAGGACCTTGGTTGTCTAGTTGAAGATATTCCTCACTAGGCAGAATCTAGTTGTGTTCCTTATATCACAACACACAGACAACTAGTTCTCCTCCCACTTGAATAGCCAATCCTACATGATTTCATGTCTGTTTTGTTTTGCTTTGTTTTGTTTTTCAGGCAAAGAAAGGAAATTACGCGTTTCTGTGGGATGTTGCAGTGGTGGAATACGCAGCCCTGACAGATGATGATTGCTCAGTGACCGTAATTGGCAACAGTATCAGCAGTAAGGGCTATGGCATAGCACTTCAGCATGGCAGCCCCTACAGGGACCTCTTTTCTCAGAGGTAACTTGGACATTGATAAGGGAGGAGGTTGACCAGTATGCCACGGTAGGAGTGGTTGGTGGGCTAATAATTTGGGCTTGTAGATTCTCAGAAACTTTCTTCCCAATTGATGATTCCTGATGCTAAATAGCATGAGGAGGGAACCACAGCCTTTGTATCCATTTTGTCTTTGATGAAACTTTGATGATTCGGCAGGCATTGATCCCAATGAGAATTCTTATAACATGTCCCTGCTTTGAGGTGATGGTCAGTATTAAGATTGTATATCTGGTTTGTGGATTGGATTATTTAAACCACAGCTTAACTTTCCCTTCTCTTTGCTCCAGGATTGGTTGGTGAAGGATAAGTGGATCAAAAGATATGAGATATGAGATAAAAACCAGATCATTCTCACCATATTTAGTAGCTGCCTTGATTAAGGGAAATTTGGAATGATGCCCTTCATATTCATTGGCTTTCTTTTAGTGTTCTTCATCCTTTTCCATTTGCCTTTATGGATTAAACCATGTATTTCCCCTATTGACCCCCAAGTTTTTAGCTATTCTCTTTTTCTTATATTTTGTAGATTCATAAGTATAATGATCTTCACGTTGAAATGGGGATAGTGATATTACTGTCTAAATCTGCATTGACTCCTTCATCCCCCAGTACTAGATGTCATTATTTTCCCTACTACTTTCTAGTGGCTTCCAAGAGCACAATGAAAGAGCCACATGCTGTTCTCCACCCAGTGAAAGGCATCATGGCATCTAAGGATTAGATACAAATTAGCCTGCTTAAAACACATGAAGAGATATTACCATAGAAGCCAAAAAAAGTGAATTCTGGGTATTGTCATATTTGTGGTTTCCTCTTAGATTTATTTGAATAGATGAAAAGAAAAAGAAGTAGAGTTGGTGAGAAGCCTCTGATGAGCACTGGAGACTGAGACACCTTCAAGAAAGAAACAGGCTAGACAATGACACAGGTCCCATTGACTTGGAGGGCAGGCAGGCTGCCCCTAGGAAAAGAAGTAATGAATTACTCATCAACATACATTCTATGAATTTAAATGTGAAGAAAATTTTTTTTTCTCTTTCTTTTAATGAACTATATTTGGTTCATCTCCAAGATAGAAGGCAAGTCCATATATAGGCATTTACACATCTACATACCAGCTTGCTAAATCAGAAGAGTATTCTACACTCTGGTGAAAAAAAAATTCATTTAACTTTTTTTTTTTTTTTGCAAACTTACCATTACACAAAGCACTGGGTTGGATATTTCTGGAAACATAAAGATTACTAAGGAATCACTCATGCTTTAATGATCTAACAATCTAGTAAGAAAGTGATGTCAGTGGGGAGAAGTGAACAGAATTCTGCTAACATTTGTAAGATTGATGAAGATTTTTTGTGTATTGAAATGTAAAGAATAAAACTTCTCCTAAATTGATGATCTAGGGGCATGAGGAGCATTTGCTCAATGCTATGTTTATGGGTTTAAAGTTAGAAAAGGACACTAGATGATCAAATATTCCCTCCCCCCTCCACTTAATATGACACAATTAAGAACCAGAGAGTTGAATTGACTTCCCTAAGGTGACTGACATATAAAGTATATAACAAGGGTAGGACAGAAACCCTGGTCTTCTGACCACAAAGGCAAGTACTTAAAAGGATGCTGAACTGAATTGAAATGTAAGGAGTAGACAGGGGAGATGTCTAGGAAAATATGTGCATAACTATATTGGAGGCTGGTGAAAACTCCTCATTTATCTAATAAGCATTTATTAATCAGTTATGATGTAATGGGCACCAAGGATACAAAAACAGTAATAAATACTATCCTCAAGACTTTACATGGTAATGAATATAGGCTATATCTGAGGTGTCAGGACTCCATGGTAAAAACACTAGCCCATATTGGCTGGATTCATCAAATAATCAGCAAGCATTCATTAGGTTGTTAAGTACATAGTATGTTTCCAGGAATGTAATGTTCTTGTTTTTATTTGTTCTTGTCACCACCACCACCACCACCACCACCACCACCACCACCACCACATATAAACCATTGCTCTTTCTGACTACCCATGGTTATATGACAATAGTGCCTACTTGAGGTCCCAAGACAAGATGACTCTAACATTTTCTAGAATAGATTTTTTTTTCTCTGAACAGGTTCTGTGCAACCAGTCATAAATCCTATTACTACTACTACTGCTGCTGCTGCTGCTGCTGCTGCTACTACTGCAACTATTACTACTATTAAACTACTTTTATGTAGAACTTTAAGATTTATAAAGTACTTTAATGAATCATCTCATTCAATCACCAGAGCAACACTGTGAGACAGATGCTTTTATTATCTGCATTTTACATATGAGAAAACTGAGGCTGAAAGAGATTGCATGACTTGGTCAGTGTAACATAGCTAGCAAGTTTCTGAGTTAGAATTTGAACTCAGGTTTTCCCAGTTCCAAGTTCAGTGTTGTATCCACTGTTCCACCTAACTATTTCAATATACAAGCTGCATTTGTATTGGTTAAGCTGCACTAAACTTAGCCTCATCTGGGGCAAATAACATAAAATATAAATCAACTTTGTAATTCAAAATGTACAATTAACAAAAGAAGTAAGCAGGACAAAACCATGGAGTACCAAGAGAGATTCATTGCTGTAGTGCCCTCTAGTTCCTGAAGGGGTTCCTATATCCAATTATTATTCCCTCTAAATTCTTTTTGCTTAGGCCATTGCCCTACTCACCACACACTAATTATAGCTCTGGCTATAAAGGATGGTAGCCTCAGTCTTGCTCACATCTCTTGCCTCTGATGCTGAGTGGTATTACAAAGCACATTTACACTTTTAATCATGACTTCGATTATTATGATAGGATTTAGGGAACTCTAGAAAACAATAGGGCATTGTCTAATGGCCTACCAATGATGATGATGATGATGATGAATTTCAATTAATTTTATAATTTATTGGTGATGGACCACAGCTCTCAGAAAATTTGTTCATTTTACTGCCCTTACTCTCTGTTCCAGTCTATTCTTCAGAAGTTGCCCTACTTTACCACGATGGCCCCTCACATTTGCCTTCTGTCTCTGTCCCATTCTCTCTGTAATGAATTCATGATTGAACATACATTCTCCTATGAAGCATTGGGTGTTTCTGAATTCAGGACAATGACGAAAGAAAACTGGAATAGTAATTGCCAGCAACTACACAGTCCTTGAAACAAATATTTAATTAATGTCAGAGCGAGAGGAAGTAAATGTCAGTCATTTTCTATGTAAATGTACAGCAGTCCCTAACCCGTGTTTATGAGACTCATTTATATAGTTCAGCATTAAAGCTGCCCAGTTAATCACACAATTTGGGACTCAGGGGAAATATGGCTGCTAAGGGCAACCTGAAACCAACCACCAGCGATATGTGGGTGTAAATCATATGCTTTTACAATAAAATACAAACATAAGGAGAACTCACTGCTTATTCATAGAGATTTCTCTCACACTGCAGTGCAGATCCATGCACACAGCCATGATGACAAGGAGATGGGCTGGATGAGATTGTTCAGGGTTACATTAGGGTGGCCTCCAAAAGGCCATTGCACTTCAGACTTGGGAGAAGGACATGTGACTTATGTGAAAAGAAGAATAGAAAAGAAACTAAGGCAGGAAAGGATTTTGTCAAGCACTCTTCCCTCTGACCTCACTCCCCCAGCCACATTAGAGCTCTCACCTCCTTCAATTACTTTCCTTCCTGTAGCATACAACCCAGTTACACTTGGTGGGCTGGGGGGTAACTGTGCCTACTGTAACACATTCCAACTCCTTCCTCTGTCCATTTCTTCTCACCAAAATTTACAATATGTTTCTTCCTCATTTTTTGCCTTTTAGAATCTCTAGATTCCTTCAAAGCAGAAATCAGTTGCCATTTTCTTCTTATGACTTTTCCTGAATTGGCCAGGTATTAATACGTGCTCCTGGTTATTGCTTTTCATTTCTTTGTATAGATATGCTTTTATATACTTTGGTCCACATTATATTCATCCCTCTAGAATGTAAGCACTTAAAGGGCAGAGCCTGTTGCATTTTGTATCTATGCACTCTTGGTGGTTACCACACCTTATGATCCTAATCATTGTTTTTAATTGAATGGAATGGAATTGAAGGAGTTCCAAGACCAAAATGCAAATTGAATGACAAAGATAAGAGTAAAGGTAAACAACACTCCCTCCAATTTTCAATCACACCCAGATTCTTTCTGTGGATCTGAACTTCTAGACAGAGAATTCACAACTTGACTTCATCATCTTTGTAGGGAAAAGATCCCTAGGAGGAAGGATACCAACATTTCTCCATTATGGCAGCATTTAGCTAATTGTGGACACAGTGACCCATTCACCTATGGTTAAGTAGGGGTTTAATGAGTTGGTTACATGTGCAATCACTTTTCCTACAATACAGAGGCCCAGCTATCACCGGGTTGAAAATGCACCCATGCAAATCAAAATATCCTTTCTGGATTCTCAAGGGTAAATCCTATTGAAAGAGTTGTGGTTCCCAATCCCAGAAACATAAGGGTTCAAGATAACAAATACTTTATTTACTTATTTTTTAATTTTGTCTTTGTATCTGCAGTTCATTATACATAGTTGGTGCTTATTAAATTAAATATTTAATTGTTAAATGTTAAAATGCCAAATGATTAATTGAAGAATATAAGGGCTTCTGAGTGCCGGAGTCTCGCATGTTGGCATCCTATCAAGAGAGTTTGTGTAGCCATGAAAAAATATGCAGGGATGTGACTCTTATCAAAGACTATTGACATGCCCTAGAGTCTGAGAATTTGGTTGCTATTCTGTTTGACACTTGGCAAGATTTCTGGCCCAGAATTGGATAGTGAAGGATGGGAAACAGCATTAATTATCACAATAATATTGGAACTGCCCCCTTTTATGGGTAGTTGTAATGACTTTTTTTTTCAAACCACAGAGCAAAGGGGTATGAATTATAATTAATTAATTTATAAAGATGATAATGGTAATGGTAATAATGATGGTGGTAGCAATGAGGATGGTGATTGTGTTGCTTTTGGTGGTGGTGGTGATAATGGTGAAGTTGCTGCTGACGGTGGTGACTATGGAGATGATGGTGGCAGCAGTATTAATCCTGCCACTGTTTGTGGTAATCACCCTCCTCCAGCCATGCTAAAATTAGATAAGAAACACAACTTTAGCATAAAAAGATTAGGTACCCAGTGTCATTTCCCACTGTTAATGACCATTTTTGATCTTATCTTTCAGGATCCTGGAGCTACAGGATACTGGTGACTTGGACGTTCTCAAACAAAAATGGTGGCCACATATGGGTCGCTGTGACCTGAATAGTCACACAAGTGCTCAGACGGATGGCAAGTCCCTGAAACTACACAGTTTTGCTGGCGTGTTCTGCATCCTTGCTGTGGGCCTCCTCCTTGCGTGCCTGGTGGCAGCCCTGGAGCTATGGTGGAACAGCAACCGCTGCCATCAGGAAACACCAAAAGAGGTCCATAGCTTTTATCCTATTCCTTAAGGAAGCTCAAAATCAAGAGTTGAGCTATGAGATTTTTTTTAGGATTTTTTTCTTATAAATAAGATGAATCATTTTCATATAGCTTAGAGACATAACATAGATTTGGTTTTTTTACAGTGCATTTCTTGTGTTTTTTTTTTTGTAAAAGAACAAATTTAAGTGATTTTATGATTGTAAAAAGTGCCAAGGCATTAAAGTCCTGTATTTATCTATAGAGCAGATGCAGTGTGGGCAGCACGAGGGCGCCCTTACCCACTCTGCCTCACCAATGTGCTTCTACCCTGACCTGGAGAGACCAGCTCTAGGGGTAAGAGAGTAGCCCAGAATCCATGCCTACCTGCCCCTTGGCTATCTATCCCAAGTGTTAGTATGGGGAAATTGTGCTAGGGTTCTTATGAGGGTTATGAGCTGTCTCCCATCAGCTGCCCACCAAGGATGGTCAACACATAGATACAGACATGTGACTCAGATTCATCATGGTCAATGCCAAACTTGGCCTTAGGTGAAATTTAAGATTTTAAGTAAAGTGGCCTTTTCCCCAGGAGATGGCATACCAGGGACTGTTCATGTTATTGACCTACTGCCTCTCCCTCAAACCTGACCCCCAATAAACTGTTTTCTGGAAAAAAAAGCCCTTCTCAGTGTTTCCCCTAGAAAACTCTCTCTGAAGGAAGGCAGTGGGTATTGAAATGTTTTGGGGGTAGTGTTCCCACCACCAAGAAATTAAATTCGTTCCTAAAACATTTTTTGCATAAATCTAGGGTCGATTTGCATCAATTAAAATGCTTAACAAGCTAACCTCTAGTAATTTGGAAATATGGAGACACTTGCAAGATTCCTTCAGCTCAAACAGATGTTATTTCCAAACAAGTAGCGGCAACACAGCTGGAAAAGAATGGAAATGGGAATCCATCAATTCTAATCTCAGGGAGCCTTTTGAAGGTGGGGGTGGAAGGAGGTTGTGGAAAATGAGGTATTTCAAGTCTGGGAATCTGGTGCCAACAGATGCAGACCCGAGATCTTTAGGTTGCTTTGTAATGTGCCTTTACTCAATACTGTGCAATTCTTCATGGAGCTGTGATTTCCCCAGTGTGGGTGCTCCATCTATATTCTTCCTTCAGTGATAAATCCAGGAGCTAAAGCACAGTACATCTTGTAGGACTTGGATGCCTTTTGAATGTCGCTGGAGCCAAAGATTTCATCAGTCTGCAGTACAAGCTGATGATCATGTATAACTTGGCTAAGGAATTTCTTATGTGACAGAGGCACAGTCCATTCTTGGGCCAATACTTGAAGACTTTCCCAGCTGGGTAGAATGTTCCAGACCTTTTGATCCACTCACATGACCCTTTGAAAAGTTAAGGTCACCTTTATGTCATGATGAGGTATCATAATCATTCTGTTCATTCGAAAAGCACCAAAGTGACTGACCACAACTTACTTAAGCCTTGCTTTATCTATTTCTAGATCATTATCTCCTATCTTGCTTCTCTCCTTTCTCTGTGTCTCTGTGTGTCTTCTGATATCTCTCTTTCTTTGTTTCTGTCTCTCAGTCTCTCTGTGTCTCTAACTTTATTTCTCTATTTCTGTCTAGTGTCTCTGCCACTCTCTCTATTTCTTTCTCTTTCTCTGTCTCTCTTATGATTCCATAAATGTAGAGAACTCTCAGTGAAGAAATTCTTTCTACCATTATAGCCCAACTGCTCTTCAAACACAGTTCTCTGGGGAAATGAGAAGCTAAGTTACTTATTCATTGTCACACAGCCAGTGTGTGTCAAGGGTGGGACTTGAATCTATGACATCTTGACTCTGAAGCCTATCTATCAACTATTTCATATTTCCTCTCTTGATGTAACTACCAATGAACTTAAATTCTGCTCTCATGTTGAAAAGGGTCATTTGGTTAGCAGGGTGAAGGCCTTTTTGTTTGTTTTTCTTTCTGCTTCTCTTACATTTCTCCACACTGAACAAATATCAGAATGGAGTTTTGCTAACTCCACAGGGGTGTGGAAGAGAAAAGTTGCCTGTTATTGGCTAAGAAAGTCACAATTGAAAAAAAAGAACATTTGTTATGATAAAAAGGTTTCTTTTTCTCTTGATGAAATCCATTTAAAGTAAAAACTAGGGTAGAGGAAGCATTTGATACATACCCATTACTAGATTTCTCTTTGGTCTGACTTTTTTTTATTAAACGCATTTATTTGATTTCTTCTATTTCCTAATCACTTGGATCAAGGCATTCAACGATTGCTGAGTTAAATGGCCATTTACTTCACCATTCAAAGCTCACTTGGGCAGGATGTAGATAATTGTGGGCGGAAAAACTCTTGGGATAGAGGTTTCCCAGGAGGAGAGCTGATCCTCGGTCTAAGGTGGAAAATGGGTTTCAAGTGTCTAATTAATTCTAATCATACCATCATTGGCTTTTCCATACCAGCATAACCTTCCAGGAGTCCCTAGTCCCATGTGACTTTAGATCTTTGAAATATCCCAGAAAACTAAGAAAGTTTAGCAACAACGAATCCAAGACTGAGACTAGTATCCACTTAGCAAACTGGGAAGGATGAGACAAAGAGATAGAAACAGAGACAGTAGAGATAGAAACAGATCATACAGAAAAGCAGAAGGTAAGAGATAGGGGAGAGGGAAGGAGGGAGAGAGAGACAGAGACAGGAAGACAGAGACAAAGAGAGAAACAGAGAGACAGATATAAACAGACTGAAAAAAATCAGAGACACAAAGTCATAGAGAAAGAGATAAACCAAGACTTATAATCATGTGAACTGTTAAAGGGTGACCCGTCCCTTTCCCATCTTCCCCAAATCCTAAGCACTCAAAACTAGTTACATCAAACCCTCGGAAACCCTATGGGATTTAGATACCACTGGGGTTGAGCTTGATCTGGTGGGAAAATCTGAGCCAATAAAGTCTACTTGTCTGATTTTTTTCACCGAAACAGATGTGGATGACTGCCACTATTGGGACCTGCAAATTTCAGCCAATTTTAACAGCTTTCTTGTTCTTCTTGACAGGTATGCTGAGGTAGCCAGTGCCTACTCTTAACTGAATATGCTAAGTGTTAGTTGACTCTACTTTCTTTTGGTTACATAGCAATCTTTTAAAAATAATGAAAGGTCTATTTAATCATGGACTAGAAAAACATTTCTGCTGTTCAAATTGTGACCTGTGGTTTATAGAGTAGTATTTGCAGTTAGAGTGAGAAAGCAATATTAATCACAGGTTGTTAAAATTTCAGAATTTGACCACAGTTCTCGTCAGAAGTCATTCCAAAGATCTTTGCTGTCATTCGTAATGGTATTATAATGAGTTTTTTCAATTCAGAAAAGTCCATCGCAGTCTTTTTGATGTTTAGTTTTATCAGACATCTAGTTTGTTAATATGCATATGGATACAAACATGATTTTTTTCCAGGAATTTGTATATACAATTATGTAGTAACCACATTTAGGAGTTTGCAACACTCTACGTGGTAATGCTATTGGATACAGCAAAGAGATTTAGATTTATGAAGAGACCTGTACCACTTCTCTTCCAATAATATTTTAATGAAATAAAGATTAGGAATGTATAAGTGGGAGAAAGTATATGGAATGAGATAGATGACATTACTCCTCAGAAGCTTGGTTTTGGGATTCCATTTCCATTCCTTCTTTGGCCTTCCCTCTTATTTCCTTATTTCACCTAAAAGCCAGCCTAGGTGAAACTGAAATTAAGAAAGGGGTAAGCATTCACACTATTCTTCTCCTAGATCCTCTGAATACTGAGCCTATTAATTCTACATGGATGCCTCCTCCTTCCCTCCATAGCCCCCTGGACTTTCCCTTTTCTTCCCAATCTCCCTTTTCTCCAGTGCTCAGATGTCTTCTCCATACCTAGGATCCAACAATCATAGATATGAATCTGAAGATATCTCAGAGGTCATCTAGTCCATGTTGTATATCTCACAGATAAAAAAAAAATTGAGTCCCTATTGATATAATGTATTATCTAGTATGATGCAGCTCCTATGTGGGAGAGAAAGATTTGGACCCAGCTCATTTGATTCCAAATTCAGTTATTTTCCCATTATGCCATGAGACCTACCCTTACTGCATGCTTTACTTTTCTCTTCCCATCACTATTCTATTCATCTGAGTATGACCAAAATTTGTTTTGTTTATTTACTTTGAGAGAGTTGTGAATATGCTGTCACATGTGTGTATGTATATATCATTATATATATGTGTATATATATATATATATATATATAATATACACCTTATAATATACACATCCACACCTTAGGATGTGTTCTTTGTGAGTTCCTATGGCCAAAATATTGAATTCCCTGGTAACTAACCTCTTAGTCCTGAGTCTTTACAAATATAGTAAAGCGATTTAATTCACTGAAATACAACAAAATATAATGCAACATAAGCTGCTACAATTCAGTTCAATCATTTATTATGGCAGGTAGGTGGTACAGTGAGGAAAGCACTCAACCTGGAGTCAGATACACCTGAGTTCAAATCCAGGCTCAGAAACTTCCTAAATGTGGGACTGTGGGCAAGTCACTGAACTTCTATTTGCTTCAGCTTCCTTATATGTAAAATGGGAGTAATAAGAAGATCTACCACCTAGGATTATTGTGAGGGTCACATCCATCTCATTTTGTTGTGAGATAATATCTGCAAAGCCTTGTGCTAACCTTAAAAAGGTATATAAATCCTACCATCATCACCATCATCATCATCATCAATCTGTCTACAGTGTAGTAAGCATTTTTCTGGTTGCTGGGAATGTATAAAAAATCCTAATCTTCAAAGAATTTGCATTCTATTTATTGGTTTTCATACAAAACACATAAAGGCTTTGTTGGGCTTGTCCCTGAAGGACCTCCAGCTTGAGAGTACTGACTCAAGCTTGCTCTAGAACACGTGTACTTCCATGTCTCTATAGGAGGCAGCCATCGA